GCTCCACAGTAATTCTAAGGGGCTCTGATAAAAGTGGCATTCACAAAAGAGTTTTCCAGGCAATAGAAGGAGGTTTGAATCACGTTTCAGGAGAGTGCTGCATAGATCCACAAACACATTGATTTCCAAAAGAATTAATATTTATTGTTATTTCCGGCATTAAAAATAAGATTTTACTGACTTGGCAGGGGTTCCCACTGGCCTGCCTGTACTATTATATTAACACTGAACTTTTTTATTGAACCAGCCAGTACAAGCTTCCTTCATGTTAACAAGGCTGGCATATGCATTTGTGTAACACTTTAGATTATGGTACTTGTACTTAGCATTGGTTAATAGGTAATAAGGATACTTATCAACATTAATATATGTTAACAAGACTTGTTACTATATATTGATGTTGATAAGTAGGCCCTTATTACCTATTATGCTTATCACAAGCAACATAATATACAAAGTGTTACCTACATGTTAGAACTACTAGTGATTTTGAATTACATTTAATTCAATTTACTTTATAGCAGACCACATAGTGGCTTTTTGAAGCATCCACAATTTGGCAGACAAATTTTACTCAACTCAGTTCTTTACATGACCTTTTACTTCATCAATTGTGTCTCTGTGTTATGGCCTATATAACGTGACATATGGCTCCCTTGTGCAGCTTTTCCTTCTGCTGCTCTCTGGAGCCTTGTGCAAAATACTATGTCATACAGGGCAAGCCAGGCTTCATCTATCACTTTATGATACAGCATTTCATTCAGTGATAGTACACTTTTACACTGGATTTGGAAAATTATTATTCAATGTGTGTTTGTCTAGAGGGCTATTGCTTTACAGACTAAATGTTGTGTTCTTTGTGTGATAAACTTTGACTTTGCCTCTGGAAAGTCAAACACTTTGTTCTGCAATGCTTTATTTTAGCTTCCTGGTCGAGGCCTCCAGTAACAAGTATCCCAGTGCTTGTTTTATGGTAATGAACATTAGAGCTCACAGAAATCCCTTTTGAACCATTTAAGGAGAATAAAAAAGTGAAAAAAGGAGAGAAAGGGAGAAATTTTTTTATGTGAGATTTTTCTACAAAGTCAGCTTATTCTATATGCTTCTTCGTTTTCCTTAAGCAGAATCACTACCCAGAAGCACGCAGCCCAGCTGCCAACTCCTCCAAGCATTAAACCAAAAGATGCTCAGAGCCAACAAGCAATATCCCATGAGACTTTGCTCTCCAGGAGGCAGACGCCAGTTTAGATTTCACAGCCTTAATGTGTGTGCAGGGTCACTCTGGGCTATTCCTCTCTCCTAACATTGGCATGGGATAATCTGTTTTAAGCCTTAAGTTTTTCGCCTGTTTCGTCAGTAGAATTGTTAAACACTCGCTGTGGCAACCGAGGGAAAACAGTCCACAGAATGACTTCAGTCCAGAGAAATCCACTGCAGCCTCTAAAAGAGTACAGATGCTGGTTGCAGCAGCACTTGTAGTTATAATATATATAATATATAAATATATTTTTGTAATCTTTTCTTTTGTGTACTTGTGAGTCTATTGGCAGTGATTTTAAAAATGGTGAAAAAGTTATATGATAAATGTTTAAACTGAAGAAGGGGATGCCTTTACAATTTGGTGCAAGCATTGTGAAAGCATTACTTATCAGGTGAGAGAATATGCATCAGTTGCAATAACAAACTAACAAATAAGCAAGAGAAAAGGTTAACGGGAACAGGGCTGAAAAAGACCCTCAAGAACCTTTGACAGCACTATCACGATAGCCGATAATAGAGCTGAACTGACTAAAAGTCCTGATATTGTGGAAATAGCATCAAAGCTTACTGAGCTGCAGTATGCATGGCTGATCCTCTGGGGGCTCATGTGGAACTTGCTAACGGGGCTCATTAGCTCTTTTTAGTTCAAGAATCACCCACCAAATATAAGATTTGCATACTGTTATAATACTCATGTATAGCTTTCAGGTTTTGCCTGAGGTCCCCTTTGTGGACAGGTGATCTTACAGGGATACAACAGGGGAAAAAATGGCATGTAACATTTGCTACATACATTAGAAAAACATTACATACATACATTCTTTGTGATCTCTGCTTTTCTCCATATTTTATGTATAACAACCGAAGTTTCTTCTTCTTTGAATGTTATAAGATGAAATAGGCCAACCCAGTACCCTACAAATTATGTTCATATTAAGACCTTGCAATTTGCCAACATTCTAATGCAACATCTAATGGAGGAAGTGGAGTACCCAGAGAGGCAGAAAGTTGGATACTGTGGCTAAACAGGTAGTGGTGATTAGACATCAGTTGTCATCCCGTTAGACAGCCTGAATGCCTGTGGCGGCTGTGATTTTGGTTATTGTCCTGTGTTGTTTGGGTGGGTGTGTGTGTGTGTGTGTGTGCGAGAGAGAGAGAGAGAGAGAGAGAGAGAGAGAGAGAGAGAGAGAGAGAAGATATTATTAAATTAAGGCTAAATGCGTTTTGGCTTTGTAACTTTTTAACTTTTCATCCAAATCCACTCTGGTCGGGCCCACACATACAAAAGAGCAGGCAAACTCCAATTGGAAATCCACCCACTGTTGCTTAGCACAGTGGCCTTTATACCAGGCATTCAAGTACTTTTTTGAACAAGTGATGAAAACTATACAGTATGGAGTTAAGTCAATTATAGATATATAGCGAGGGATACATTTATTTCACCTACCATTCAACATGACCTAACTAACTGAAGGATCCCTTTGGTTGGTGCACTATTAATAAAGCCGTTAATGACAACCTCTGCAACTTTTATGAGTTTGTCTTACTGTGAAGTAGGAAATTCTTCAGCCCTGGAACTTTTTCTGTTTGACTAAGAGATGACAATCCTCCAATCTGTCTTGTTTAAAAAAAAAAAAAAAAAAAAAACGCCTGTATCACATTCTATAGCATGCCAGGCTATGTGGAGTATTTCCAAATGTCCTGATGGCCAGTCTGACAGTATGTGAGTGTGTGTAGGTATCCTGTACAGTATGTGCCTGTCAGTGCGAGTGTCTCATAGAGACAACCTAGAACCTCTTGGTGAAAGCAATCAGATGGCTAGAGAGTTATAATATCCTCTGAGATGCTGCACACCAGGGCGGTTGACTGACAGGATGGAATCAGTCATTTTTTCCCTCCTCTCCACTTTCACCTGCAAAGATTAAGAGGCTGACCAGAACCAGTGAGATATGGATCCATCTTTGGCCTACCTCTTTATTTGTGGAGTGGCTTTTATTTGGTGAAAAGAGCCACTTGCATGATTTTGTTTAATACAAATTTTAGGGAACATTCAGATGTTCAGATTTTTCATAGTTTCAGCACCACTTTTCCAAATTGGTTATAATAGCAATTTAAATGCTAAAATTAGTTAGAATTAATGCACAATATCAAGTAGGCGGGTTGCTTATACTAAATCCACTATACTAAATCAAAAATCACTTACTTGGAAGTTAAAACAAAGGTTGTTCTACCCAAAATTGCCACTGCTAACTGTGTCACATGCACAACTCTGGAAAGTAGTCGGCCAAAGTTCATCCAGGAAGTAGCTCTGCAGAATCTGAATGATCAGTCATATCAGAATTCATGTGACTTTTACTTATCTAGATCTGCAATCGTCATGCGTGACCCAACAGGGCCATAAGCTGTTCATACTGGAATCTGATTTGGGCCACATTTAGCAAATATTGTTAACAGCCAAACAAAAGCAATCTGATCTGTGCAATACATCCAAATTAAGCGCTAGGGCTTTCAGTGTGAACATAGCCTAAAGCTCTCTAATCAAGACATTGTATCTTGTTTGTTTGTTTAATGCAAACAGAAACCAAACTGTAAATACGTCAGTTTGCAGTTTTACGAGGGATGTGCAGGACTAATTGTTGTCAGGCTACAGGCGAGGAATACTGAATGCTACTGGTTGCTTGGTTATTATAAAGTAACTGTACTTTTACTTTTGGCTATCCTACCCGCCTCTCAAAATGAGTGCTTTAGGTAATATGGCTAAACTGGCCATTTGTTTCCAGTCATCAATCTTACTGCTCTTGTTGCTAATGGCCCCCAATTTCTAGCAAAGCTTCCACATTCCATGAACTCAGCAATGGCATTTTGTTTTGACATGGCCGCTGCAACAAGGACTCAGCCTTGGTACATGGGGTGCCAGCTCAACCAGGTGAGCTACCAGGGTGCCCCAGCATTTTTAAATGAAATGTTACCATAGCCAAATGGAAGGATAAACAAAAGTACATAAGTAAAATATATAGTTTCCTTTAAATACACAGCAGAATCAGTATTTCTCCATCATCCAAACATACATTTGTTGTTAGACAATGACAAAGATATCTTTATTCTAGTAAGAAAGGTGTTGATTGGCATGTTATGGTGAAAACATATATATCCTATATCACAGGTCAGCACAAGCCCACATACCTTGCAAAAACATTTTTAAAAAATCCACACTGTCACATGCAAATATACTGGAGCACCCCAAACCATAACCACACACACACAGACACACACATACACAAGTGCAGAAGTGCTAAAACTTCGAGAAAAGATGCTTTTTCCCTTTTTCTGGGTTGTGTCTGTAGCCTGTTGTTATTCCTGGTGCTCTGCAGTGCCTCGCTCACACACACTGCATCCCATTTAAGTTGCTGCTACAACACCCAAACCCCACGCACTCTCGAGGCAACTGTCACAGTTCATTCATGTTAATATTAGGGAGTCATTTTGTATTCTGCCACAGCAGCTTACAGCTAATTATATGTCTCATAAATCATATATGTCCTCTTGGCTGATAGGAAATAATTAGCATTTCATTAAATGCTCCACACTGAATAAAAACCACTCTCTAAAGGTTGATGCATTCCCTGTGCCTTTTATTATTATGCGACCATTACCTTTTCATTTCCATAATTCTTCTTCTTTGGCTGTATATGAACACACAAGTGCTCACTGACATTAGCTGAGGTCTCTCTGGGTCTTACCTGTGCACAGGAGGAGCGCGCTGAGTCCCACGCACTGGAGCGGCCCCATGTCTGTTTGTTCGCCCGCTGGATAAACTCCCTCAGCAGAAAGCCGCACAACTTTGCACGCAATTTATCCTCTTTGAGCGGTTCTCCATTGAAAGCAAAACAGTTGTATTCCATGCGACACCACCTGCCATCACAGACATGAATGCACGGTCAGTGTCATCCCCCCACAAACACAGTTATAGGCTAGATTCTGGATCTAAAAGAAGGCAAGCAAGGGAGAGAAGTCCGCAAAGAAAGTCCCTAAAATGGGGATTTTTTTTTACAAAGCATATGTAATGAATCAACTTCTTACATTCCTATTTGTGGCTGATTTGTCACGGTGTTGATTCAACTGTTAATTTCTGAGGATAAAACAGGTGTGAAAACAAACAGTCTGTCACCATTCACAACCTCCAGCACCCAGAGATGTTTCATATCTGTCAAATCTGTGCTGATGGTGCCAATGATTTATTATCCCTCTCTTTCTTTCTCTCTGGGATCTGAATACACTGGGCTATATATATAAAAAAAAAGCAGCGTCAAATAGAAATAGGAGTGAGTATGTGAAATGCAGTGTTGGTTTTGTTTCTTTGCTTCTTACCATTCCTCTTATTGCACAGGATACGGCGCCGCGGACTCATCCAATACTGACATGTGACATTAAAATGCACCCGCGTCTTCCGATCAGGCTGCAAAATCTTTTTCACCAACGACAAGAGCGGAAAAAGTCCTCAACAGTGTCTGATTCCCAAAGAGATCTCATTTCCTCTTCTTCTTTTTCATAGAGTGCTGGATTCACAGCGCGCCGGATCACCTGGATGCGGCGGGTGACACGCAAGTACATACGACGTCTCTGGGTAAAAAAAAAAAAAAAATAGTCCTCCAACTTTCCACGCGATGAAAAAGCGTGCACAGATCAGTGGAGGTGTAGTGGATCTTGAATCTGTTGCCGCTCTGCACCCTGTGGCTGTGGACCGGGAGAGTGCTGGTGCACAAACTGAGGGGGGGCTATGGGACGCGCACTCCGGGCTGGATTGGCAAATTAGAAGGGGTTTGCGGGCGTCACGTCAGCAAGTATTGTGCCATCCAATTCCCAGCTCATATCACATGGGGATTTCGCTTTTTTTTTTTTAGTCCCCAAAACCGTCGGAAAAATAAGTTGATGGATTTTGGATTAGATTTTTTTCGGTTGGATGGTGAAAATGAGCATACGACAGGGAGTCTGCAGGAAGATGTTCAATCACAACTGAAACAGTAGAGAAAGAACACTGCAGCTTTGCATCTTCATACAGTATAAATTATAACAGAATCATTAAAACATTTTAAATCAACCTGGAGAGAAGCTGTGCGCACGGAGCTCCCTGTCAGCGCAATCCACACTATACAAAATCTAACGAAGTCAAAGCCACACATTTAGGTGAGGAGATGTTCATGGTTAAATGGCCCTAAACCTAAAGTGGTTAAAAAATGGTAGGCAATGGATTTTTATTTTACCACTCCCATAACCTGGATGGATCATTAGTGTCCAGTCTTTTGAGGAGAGGAGTAGAAGTAGTGCAACCTGTTGTGCCATTGGTCGTTCATGAGAACCAACAGTGCCCCCTACAGGGAAGCCTACCTCTGAGTGCAAGCTGCTGCCCTCATGTAAGCTTTGTGACTCATGAGTCACACATAAGGAGGTGCTGCAAAAATATATATAAAGAAACTGTAGGCTGAACAAGGTGGTATACATAACGGAGCAGTCACTCCTTAAGTGGCATCAAGACTCAATAAAAGTGCGTTTGCAGATGTAGAGCCCTGGAAGAGTCACTGTATAACAGTATGTATCTACTGCAGGATAGATAGGTAAAAATGAAGTAAATACTAAGTAGGTCACATTGTCTCTCCGTCATATTTCTTTATATAGCTCAACATATTCACAGAAATAAGGAAAAACTCCATAAAAAGTCCTTCAACAGGATAACATGCAAGAAAAGTGCAACTTTTGGCAGTAGCACAATTATTAAAGGGGTACTCCAGCTGTTTAGTATTGCACTTCCATAAAGCTGGGGTACTCACAAGAGACAGATTGTAAAAGAAATGGTTAAATGTGATGCAACAGGGGCCAAGATATTCTAACTTTTATCTCGAGTATTGGTCAAGCTCAAAAAAAACAATGAAATTCCATAATAATGCTCTTTCATTATACCCCTACACCATGCACCCCCTTCTCTGCCTTTACAGAACAATGTGGCGCAGCTGCTGGTGGTTTTGCCTCCTCTGCACCCTGCTGGGTGAAAGGCCCAAGCTGCTAGTGTACATGCTCACTATTCCTCAAGAGAAGAGTGAACAAGCCATAATGGGACACACAAACCAGTGACACGTTGAAAGGCAGCCAGAGGAGCCACCCTGCAGCTGAGGCCTCTCCACAACAGTGCTAAACACCAATTACAGGCCATCGGCAGAGAAGTGGAGGGACCCTGTGGGTTTGGAAGAGAAGAGCTCCCTCCTTCATCGTCTCCTCCTTTCTGCTCCACCAGTGCCATTCAAGTAGAATGAGATATGATAGGAGAAACAAATTTTACTGGATTTCACTCTCAAATGACGGCACTCCTGGAGGGCTTTCCATAACACATAGCCAATATGTGGAGTTGATATAAAAGTTGTATTGTGTACATTGTGTACATTACTGCTGCTGTTTTGTATAAAGTTCTTCCTGTATGTTATTTATGGAACCCAGTATGTGTCATGCATGTGCTAATATGTAAGCTGATGTCTATATAATGCTTAATGAATGCTTTGCAGAGCTGTAAGTTGGTAGGTGGTAGGTGGTTAGTAACTGTAGCAATCAAAACAGTGTCACCAGTTTTAAATGGTCTCTTACATGAGCTTCTCATCAGGATACCATCTCTTCTTCTGCCCATTTTAATATGCATAAAAACTTTTTTCCCTTTTACTTCTCATTCTTTTCACAAAGCTTCTCTCTTACTTGTTCATTTTACAGTGACAGAAATATTCAGAGGACACCGTCGCTCTGACCTTTACAATCCTTTGCGGCTCTTTGTAATGTTGGTAATCTTAGAATTTAAGTTTATTGCAGTCAGTATAAATTCCGCAGATGAGAACATTAGCTGCGTGCTTAAAATACAAAATGTTAAATGTCTGTCTTGAGCAACAGTGTTATCAGACTTTTTCTCCTTTGCATTTCTTATTAATTTCTTTTTGCCTTTTTAACAATTTTATTCATTTATTTAAGTAATTTTTGATTCCCTGCCTGGAACTGTTTGTGCCATACAGACATAGCATACACTACTGCAGTAAAAGACATGACCATACTGTAACATGCCCGCTTGGAAGCTGCAGTAGAATTCACAGAACTGAAGTAATTCTGTAGCCTGTTTCACCTAATAGTTCCCACAGTGAGAGTTTAATAAGCTACTGATGAAAGAGGCAAAAATAGACTTAAAACAGATTATGTGATGGCAGAGTTAGAGGAGTGGAAAGACTCACTGTGACCCCAAACAGACACACATCCTGGCTGTGAAATCTTAACTGGTGTCTACCTCTTGGTGAGCATGGTCTCATGGGATGCCGCTTGCTGTCTCTGAGCGCCTCCTGCGTTCACTCTGAGACAGGTTGTTACTGTACAGCTGCAAGCTTCTTGGCAGCCGCTTGCCTTGCAAAACAGTGAGAAGTTTATAGAATGAGCTGACTTTGTAGTATTCTCTCATTCTTCCCTTTTCTTAATTATGTAAGGGCGAAAGGCATGACTGGAGACTGACAGCAAAATTGCCCATTAAACATAGTAAGTGACTTTACAACAGAGAAGGGGTCAAATCAAGAGTTACATACTGTATGTGGTTAATGAGACAAAACTGTTACTCTACAGTCATAGTCTGATGTGTTTTCTATCTTCCATGTCAGATTCTTGGTTTAGCATTTTTAATACAAGTAACTTCATTAACATGGTACATTATATTTACAAAGATCCCTTTCTGAGCCCCAATCTATAGCTGTTTTCAGTGGATAAGGTCTAAAACATGTCATCAAACTGCAGACAGTCTCTGAGCCTGTTGTTGTGCCCTTTGCTTCCTCTAAGACCAGGAACAAAATCAAATCTGGCATGTTTTCACAGGTTTGTGACCAAAGGAAAGTGGGCTTTAATCAGGAGTGTGCACAGACTATAGCCACCTAGCACCCTAGACACCATGACCTGCAGCTGGACTACAAGGGCATGTGATATACTGCTTTTTAATAAAGTAATTTGGCATGCTTGTTTCCGGTTTACATTTTGTTTTGAGGAGCATGCGAGTTAAGCCTGGCAAGTGTGGCTCTCCGATCTGCTCTTCCATCTGGCATGGACACCATTAAATGAACAAACCCGGAGTTGCAATGAGAACATGAGCATTTGCTTGCAGCCATGTAATAACAGCACTCCGGCAGCCTCGGATTACACACCGTTTTGGATCTTTTAGCCGTATACTGCTGGCATTACAACTAAAGAGCATGTGCACAGAGATCTATTGGTAAACAGCAGATGTGGCGGTTCCTTGGGTGAAGTTCAGTAAGTAGTGTTGTCAGTTCAGCTTGTCTGCAGCTGTTGGAGAAGCATCTCCTCCACCAGTGACCCACAAATCATAAACAGCAGCGCAAGTGGTAACATGGAAGGAATCTCAACGGTGTAAAGGCTGAGTGAAGTATTAATCACAATGGTCTTTGTCTATAAATGTTAAATTGAGCAGGTTAGCTGGGGGCCCAACTGCACCGTTAAGCTTTTACAACAGAAGATTTCACAGGTTTTACTGTTTTCTTCATAATGCAGTAGATATTGAACTCACCCACGTAAAAAGTAAAAGAGAGAGCAGAGGAATGAGTCAGTGGATGCGCTGATATTATCAAATCTTTCCCCCCCCTTTCCATTTCTCCCTTACACACACACACACACACACACACACACACTCTCACACACTCACACACACACACACACACACACACACACACACACACACGTTAATTAAGGGTCATTATAAGAGACTGACCTGGTTATAGATTTAAAAAGAAAACGGTTTTATGCCCTTCTCACTGCGGGAACAACAGAAACAAAACAGCAATATCATAATGTGCTGATGAATGAGAGTAGAAAGGCAGAGGCACAATGACAGTGATATGTTATGAATAAAAGATCAGATGCTGCTGTGAAACAAGTCTTCCTTCACAATGTGATGCACCTTTTTAGATATTCTTCATCGCACATGAAGGACCAAAGAGGTCAGAGACAAGAGTGTCAATGAAATTCACGGAGAAACAGGGACAGTTGGAGAGAACCATTAGTGAAGTAAACATGTTGTAAAACACACTGATTCATCACAAGGTTTTCCATTAGTACAGTACATGCAATTTATTTATAAGACAGCTGGGAAAAAATCCTGCAACTCGCTGATAAACTGGAAAACAATCAAGCAGCTTTTAGTTGCACGTTCATCACATCAGGTTGGGAGTGGGAGACAATGCCAGTTTCAGGAGTATTTTTTCCCCATTTCAAAGTTTTCTTTTAATAATGTCCTTGAATTTATAATCCTTAAAAAGTCTGTCCTGGTTGATTTTCTGAAATCTGTAATTACAGGTGGTAACAGTGAGTTGAGGGTTTAATGCAGGTCCCAGAACTCTGGAAACACTCAGAGCAACTGGTGTATCTATTTACAACACAGCCAAAAAAACCTTTGTGGTTCAAATAATAATTGGCCTTTTTCCATCATGCCATGAGCAAGTGCAACCTGATTTCACATTGAGCATGGCATGTGTAGTTTTCCGCACAACAGCAGGAGCAGTAAAAGGTTACCTTGCTGAGGAGTGTGCAGCCTCTTGTCTTCAGCTCTTCAGCTTACCGTGGCTGCCCCTTCTTGTTCCATTGCACCCTGTAGGATTAAAAACTGACAACAAAACATAAACTGTAAACTGTGCGATGTAAAACATGACTTTGACTTATTTTTATTATAATTTAAACCGATTACGCAACTCCATATGTAATCCATTACTTCCCAAGCCTGCTTATACTCAAAAACACTTGTAGTATATCATAGCATATGACCGACAACAGGGTATCGCCAAAGTGTGCAGAAAAATTGCAGGCACACAGTGAGGTCTTTGAAGAAGGCTGATCCTCCTAGCCAACCCTTGTCTAAGGAGCTAGATGCAGATGTATTATGTGGTAGTCACTGCTGGCTGTACAACAAATTGCGCTTCAGGGATAATA